AAAGTCTTGCCTGCAGGGCCATTCATCCTTGGAAAGGAAGATGGGTTTAGACCCAGGGTCCCAGCTGGCCTTGCAAAAGGAGCTGGGTTGATACCCATAGGGCCTCCTGGAGAAGCGCCCAGGTGCCCAGCAGCTGACCTGGGGAAAGCAACTTGACCAGGGCCTACTGGGCCAGTAGACCTTGGGAAAGTAGCTGGACTTGGACCCTGCAGGCCAGCGGCCCTTGGGAAGTTAGCTGGGTTAGGGCCTAGTGGCCCAGAAACTCTTGGGAAAACAGCTGGACTTGAGCCCTGGAGGCCAGCAGACCTTTGGAAGGTAGCTGGGTTTGGAGCCAATGTGCCAGAAGACTGAGGGAAGGCAGCTGGGTTCAGTCCCCCTGAACCTGCCCCCCTTGGAAAGGGATTGGCATTTATCCCCATGGGGCCACCTGGCCTTGAGAAATGAGCTGAATTAGGGCCTATAGGGCCAGGAGCCCTTGACATAGGGGATGGATTTGGCCCTGGAAGGCCAATTCCCCGAGAGCCTGGACCCGAGGTTGGGCCTATGGGACCAGGAACTCTTGTCATGGAAGATGGGCTTGTACCCATGTTTCCAGAAGCCTGTGAGAAAGACACTGAGCTTGCTCCTAAAAGACCTGCTGCTCTTAGAATGGGGGCAAGATCTAGGCCTTGAGGAGCAGTCATTCTTAAGGTAAGACTAGATCCTGTGCCCAAGAGGCCACCTGCTCTGGCCTCTAGATTAGGGCCTGGGCCCAGGCCACCTGCCCTTGGGTTGGGCCCCAAACCTGTACCTAGGCCACTTGGTCTTGGGTTGGGACCAAGGCCTGGGCCTGGAAACACACCTGCCCTAGGGGCAGGGTTTGTACCTAAAAAGCCTGAGCTCAGATTAGGACTTGGTCCAGGGCCTAGGCCAACTGGCCTAGGATTGGGAGGACCATTCCCAGAAGGCAACAGGACACCTGTTCTCAGGTTGGGTCCAGATCCAGGGCCCATGACTTCTGGGGTCAGGACCTGCTCCCAAGAGACTACCTGCCCTCGGATTGGGCCTAGGACCAGGTCCTAGGAGACCTCCTAACCTAGGATTAGACAAAGGCCCTGGGCCTGAAAGAGCCCCTGTTCTAGGGTTTAAGAGTTGGGCCTGGGCTAGGGCCTAAAAGGCCACCGGGCCTTGGGAAAGAAACTGCGCCTTTGCCAGTGGGATTCATCCCTCTTGGAAAAGAAGCCATGCATGGGTCATGAGCACCAGCAGGAAATACTGTATTTGAAACCCATGAGCCTGATGAAGTTGTAAAAGGAGATGGGTTCCTTGGAAATGGGGCCAGATTTCCACCAAGATAACCGGCTGCCATGAGAAAGGGGTGGCACAAGAAGGAATTTGTTCACACCCACTCAATAAGTAGCCTGTATTCAGAACAGGACCTCCCTGTGGTCCCAGGGAGCTGTGAAGCTGTCTTTGAGGTGGCAGTGGAGCACGAGTCCAAGGAGTAGGCCGCTCTAGAGATAAAATCCAGGGTTTTGGCTCAGAGCTTGTGGCTCAAGTGGCTAAAGCGCCAGCCACATACAGCTAAGGTGGCGAGTTCAAATCCAGCCCGGACCTGCCAAACAA